GAAGAGGTTGACACGAGATAGAAGAGGAGGAGGAGGAAGAGAAGGAAAGAGAGAGAGAGAGAGAGAGGAATATGAGGAGGAGGAGGAGGAGGAGGGTAAAACACGAGGAGAGTTAGCACGACGTTACGCAAGATTCGTGATGTGCACTTCGTGAGAGCGACGGCTCGTTAGCTCTAGGAAAGAGGGAGAGGGATAGAGACGGATGGATGGAGAAAGAGAGAGAGAGGAAGAGAGAGACAAACGGGGGGAAGGGAAAGAGTCACAAATGGGGAGTCCTCCTGCTTTTTCGATCGAACGATCCATTCGGATCTACGCGTCCGACAGCATAATCGACTAGGCCTTTGTCGCTCGTAACGTTCAGGAAAAATCCTGATTGTGCCTAGTCAAACTATATTGAATTAATCGTTACGACGTTATTTTAAACCGTCTTTTTTTCTTTTTTTTTTTCTTTTTTTTTCTTTTCTTTTTTTTTTTTTTTTTTTTTTTTTTTTTTTACGTCGCTCAACTAGTACATAAAGAGTATATATGTGTGCGTGTGTATATGTACATATCTTTTCAAATTCATTTTTCCAATGACATTTAATTATGAAAGTAATCATCATTTATTTCACAGAATCGAGATTGTTAATGATATTATTATAGAACTAATAACGAAATGATAAAATAAAATAATTATATTAATTATATAGTAAGATAAGTACCAATCGTATAGATATAGGAATATATTTTTACGAGACTGAAAGTTTACGTTATAGACGTTGTCCATTATTATTATTATTATTATTATTATTATTATTATTATTATTATTATTATTATTATTATTATCATTCTTATAATGGTTTGTATAAGAAAAAAGGGAGGGAGAGAGAGAGAGAGAGAGAGAGAGAGCGAGAAAGAGAAAGAGGAGGGAGAGGGAGATGGAGGAGCGTGAGGAAGAACGTATTCCTCGCGTTTGCTCTCGCTGCCAGAAGGCGAAGCTACTACCTCTTCCTCCTCCTCCTCCTCCTCCTTCTTTCGTTCTTCTTCTTCTTCTTCTTCCTTTCCTCCATTCTTCTTCTGCTTCTTCTTCTCCTTTTCTCCTTGGGGCACTCCTCGTGCGTAAAGTGGACGACTGTCGTCTCTTTTACGCACGAGGAGTGCCAAGGAAGAAAAGGAGAAGAAGAAGCAGAAGAAGAAGGAGGAAAAGAAGAAGAAGAAGAAGAAAGAGAAGAAGGAGGAGGAGGAGGAGGAGGAAGAGGTAGTAGCTTCGCCTTCTGGCAGCGAGAGCAAACGCGAGGAATACGTTCTTCTCACGCTCTCCATCTCCCTCTCCCTCTCTTTCTCTTTCTCCGCCTCTCTCTCTCTCTCTCTCTCTCTCTCTCTCTCTCTTTGATATACACATACAAGACACATCCCCCATTCGTTTTCCTGCTTACGGTGAATCTCGAAAAATTTCGCCTAAAAAAGTAGTCTAGCCTACGGGCACGAATCTACGATCTCTACCTTACGTGTTACCTTGCCTATCCTTTCAGAATTGCCTTTATCTCTTTCCTCTTTTTTTCTCCTTATGATTTCTCATGTTCGTAGATTAGTCGGGGTAACTAGTACATGCACTACCGTGGAAATCTCTTTTATCGATCTTGTACCCTATACTATGTACTTTTACTCTTCCTGAGTTCTTCACTATCTTCTTCTTCTTCTTCTTTTTTCTTTTCCCATCTTTTTCCTTTTTCTTCTCTTTTTTATCATTTCTTCCATCCTCTTTACACTCTATCTATCTCTCTCCCTCCCTCTCTCTCCCCCCTCTCTCTCTCTCTCTTTCTCCTCTCTCTCTCTCCTCTCTCTCTCGTTCTCTGGTACTTTTCTTATTTAATTTAGAAAAAGGAAAAAAAAAGAAAAACGGAAAACGGATCTGTGAAATAAGTCGAAAGAGCATTCTCGATCATTGATACGAATAATCATGATATAACCGGTTTTATTGGAGTAGATCAGAATTCTTCTCCTTCTTTTTTTTCTTTCCTTTCTTCCTTTTTCTTTTTTTTTTTTTTTTTTTTTTTTTCTTTTATACAGCGGTAAAAGTTAGTTCGTTGCGTTTGGCAATATTGCGGCGGTGGCGGTGACGGTGACGGTGACGGTGATGGTGACTGTGACAGTATTGGTATTGGTATTGGTATTGGTGTTGGTGTTGGTGTTGGTGTTGGTGTTGATGTTGGTGTTGGCGGAGACGGCGGATTTATGAATGAGCCAGCTACCGGAAACGCGTGCCGCAAGAATTTTCACCTCTCCACGCGTCTCTCGTTAATAACTTCGATGTTGGAAACCTTCAGGTAATATAAACCTGATCGTTTCTCGCGCGAATACCCGAAAGAATTATTTAGTTTCGCAAACATATGATTTATAAATCTACAATAAATTAACAAATACGTGTATATATATATATGTGTGGTGTATACACAAGTCTCTTAATTTTGAAAGTGGGGCAAGTCCATTTTGTGAAAGAAAAATAATTAAAGCTGATTCCTAATCACAAATTAACATAAAAGTTGTTTTTATTTATATAGAAAAAAAAAAGAAAAGAAAAAATAAGATAAAAAATGGACGTCCCACTTTCAAAATCAATGAATCATATATATATATATATATATATATATATATATATATATATAAAACTTATCTAAAATATTTGCAACTAAAATGTACGATCATTTCACACGATCAAAGTCTATGCGAACGTTCATATGAACTGGTGATTATGAAAGTGACCTGAGTCATATATATGCATATATATATATATATATATATATATACAGTTTTTAATGGTCCGATATTTTTCACTCATACTATTTCCATAATTACTAACACATTGAAAATAAAATGATGGGGTACTTATGGATTGTAATCATACGCATCGTCGTCCGCTTTTCTAAACGACAGTAGTAGTCTTATATCGTCTCCGTTCATAATATTCTTTATCGATCTTACTATCTTCTCTATCTTATTCATCGTAAAATCTATCTTAGTCGTAACCATTCGCTTCCGCGTCAGCTCTCTTTCCTTTATCGCGCGCACCATTTAATAACCTGCGTCCGTTCGTAACCGGTACTATCTTTCTCTTTCTCTTTCTCTCTCTCTCTTTCTCTCTCTCTCTCTCTCTCTCTCTCTCTCTCTCCGGATATAATAAGTAGAGATAGAAAAATACAGAGAGAGAGAGAGAGAGAGAGAAAAAACCGAAGAAAAATATTAAAAGACAACCGACGGAGAATCTCAAGGATAATTACACGCTAACACGAGACGAGGCGCAGTTATTTTTTTTCTTCTTCTTCTTTCTTTTTTTTCGTTCCTTCTTTTTCTTGCTCGCGCGCGAAACGACAGAGCTCGTTCGGTAACGAATCATACGAAAACGTTTCTCTTTTAACCGAGGTTAAATTATTTACAAAGTTTCTCACATGTCCTGCAAGGACGTTTCAATAAGAATACGCAATAAGTTTCGTGATATATAATAACTGTTGAAAATGTCGTTTACTGAAAAAGATATTATTATAGGAATGTTAATAAGAATTATTATTATTATTAATTAAAAAATTATTTGGTAATTTCAATTGATACACATGAAACGATATACACATATATATATATATATATACATATATATATGTGTGTAAATGTCTTTATACATAAATAGATATATACATACATATATAAATACATACGTACGTATATACAAAGAACGATGGGGGAAGAGAGGGATTCAAAAAAGAACCGTCAATGTGTCTCGTGTGTGAACGAAGTACTTACTACCGGCCGCTGACTAAACGCGAGCATGAATGAATCCGAGTAAGCGAGCCGCCGCGATTGAAGAAAGGAAACGGCCCTGTCTCTTTCGGCTGACGTCGGTCATGCTCGGCTACGTTCGGTCTCGAGCCGCCGCAATACGTCGCGCGCCTCGGGCTTCTCCACGGGAGAATTCATTCATAAAACTGGCGAAGAGCGAGTAACTGAATGGTGGGGGCTGCGAGTCAAGTGTGTCTCTCCCACCACTTTTCTCTCTCTCTCTCTCTCTCTCTCTCGGTTTCTCAACCGTTTTAACTTCTCTCTTTTTCTCCTTACTCAATGATGCCCTTCGTCTTATTAATTTTCCTCGTCCAATTGTATTTCAGAGGTATTTGATTTCTTCAATCATAATTGCATATGTATATATATATATATGTATATATATATATATATATAATTATTAAAATTTACGTTAAAAATTACATTTGCACATTATCATTTAATTTTATAATAACATATGATATATATGTAATAAGCAGAGAGAGAGAGAGAGAGAGAGAGAGAGAGAGAGAGAATATATAACTACATGTAAATATTTAATGACCAGAAAAGAAAACGTAAGCGCTTTCGAAAACATAAGCGAGGTAATTTATTAAAATCCTCGCATAATCGCGAACTTATTACTAGGTCTTCTTAGGAAAAAAAAATAATAAATAAATAAAAGAAAGAAAGGAAAGAAAGAAGGAAGGAAGAAAGGAAGGAAGCCGTCCGTTGCTCTCCACGTGCGTCTCCCTCGCATATGCATCTCTCTCTTTCTTTCTCTCTCTCTTTCTCTCTCTCTCTCTCTCTCTCTCTCTCTCTCTCTCTCTCCTTCTCTCGTTCTCTCCCTTCCACCCTCCTACCTACACATAAGACATACACACACACGTTTCTTTTTCTTGTCCCTTTGCTCGTGGTACTCCCACCCGTACGTCTTGAACGTCTCTCCTCCTTTCTCCTTCTCCCTCTTAAAAACCTCTCCCCTCCTTGGCGACGCTCGCACGCGCGCCGTACGCGCGCGCGTTCTCCTCTCTATCTTCTCGTAGCAGCCACGGTGCTTTGCTTCGCGAACGGACGAGCGTCTCCGACTCTTTTCCGTCTCTGTTTTATAAAGGCGACGCGGATCGCGACGTTGAATTAACCGAGATATATATATATATATATATTCATATATATGTATATATATGTATATGTATATCGTAACGTTTCTGTGATACTCTTGTCTCGATTGGATAAAAAAGGAAGGACAAAAAATATCGTGACGAAGTCGAGAAGAACCGAATTCGTCCTCCCCACCCCTTGTCAGTGGTCATCATCATCATCGTCGTCGTCATCGTCGTTGTCGTCGTTGTCGTCGTTGTCGTCGTTGCTATCACTGTCGTTATCGCTGTGTACTTTGATGCGCGAGTGCGTGAGTGTGCATGAAAGTCCACCCCCACCCACCCCCTCGAATCCCCCTTCTTCTTCCACTTCCTCTTCTTCTTACTTCTTCGTCGTCTTCTTCGTCTCCTACGCGGATCGTCACGTTCACGCCGTATTTTAGGCGACGATTCATATTTTCGTCCACGCTAGCTCTCTCTCTCTCTCTCTCTCTCTCTCTCTCTCTCTCTCTCTGTCCTTCTTCCTCTTTCTCAGTGGCCTATTGCGCAAGCAGGTAGTCGGAAATAGCACCGTAGCTCGCGGTTATGAATTGATAGCAAACACATGCTGGACACGACTGTGAGCTTCTCTAACTTCGCTATCACCTTCTTCTTCTTCATCTTTTCGTCATCTTCGTCATCGTCGTCATTTTAAAAGACACTATCCAGTCGTGGAGAACGTTAGTCGTCATCGTACGATATTCTCTTTTTCTTCTTCTTTTTTTTCTTCTTCTTCCTCTTCCTCTTCCTATTCTTCTAAAATGATATAATTCTCTAAGTTTTATATACTTTCAATCTCTTTCGTACGAGAATGCGTCTTCTTCTTCTCGAGTTTCGTCGTAATCGTTATCGTGGTGGAGTCAAACCGTTCGTCGTTGTTCTCGTCGAAGGTGACTTTTTGCGAAGGAAGGTCTCGTCGCGGGGCAGCTCTGAACGACTGCCGACCGCGCACGTGCACCGCCATCATCGATATTCGGCCTAATGACAGTATCTCGGGGTTCGTGCATGTTCGCCGATTATACGAGGACGACGGCACACATGTACGTGGACTACGCTACTACGGACGCATACGTCGGAATGGGAATCAAGGCCATGAAGTCGTATGGCAGGCCGAGAGGTACGTTCTCTATATAACTGCGCCTAAATCGAACTTTCGTGCGTAAATATATTTATATATATACACACATATATATATATATATTTATTTATATATTTATGTGTGTATGCTTGTATATATATGTATATATATATATATATATATGTGTGTAAGTTTACGCATTTACCCGTTGGAAAACTAAAACGCGCGTATATACGTGGGCGCGTATATAACGCGAAATATTTCTCAATTTAAATCGACCGTGTCGATTTCATTTTGACGTTTAATCGTTCCTAAACAACTACACCTCTTTCCATTTCCCTTACTTTACTGAATTCCCTCGTAATACGTTTCGCCCTCTAAATGTTTTTAACTCTGACTTTGACATTGGATACGGTGCAATCGTTTCTACTTGCTGCAGATTAACCCGACGAGAAAATACGTTAATACGTACGTACGTACGTACGTACGTACTTACATACATACATATATACATACATACATACATACATATATATGTGTGTGTACATATATATATATATGTGTATGTACATATATATATATATATATATATATATGTACACATGAACGTGAGTACGTGCTGACAGCTCGGCAGAGAGATGTCAATGACGCCACGCTATTACTACTATTACTACTACCAACCGTTTCCTGTACCAAAGAGAGAGAGAGAGAGACGCTTCCATAAGTAGAGTATACCTCTACTCTCACAAACTCATCCGCGAACTCTCCGAGATTCCCCAGCACACCGATCGAGCGATCGAGCACCGAAGCTTCCTGCCAACCGGTTTGAGGGAATGGCTCGATCCGTTTTCTTCGTACATAGATATTGCGGTCGAAGACGGAATCCGAGCGCCAACTCGATTCCTTCCTCTTACTCGACTCGAGTAAACCTTAACTTTCCAACTTATACTATTCTATCATTCTCTTTTTCTCTCTCTTTCTCTCTCTCTCTCTCTCTTTCAATACTACATTGCTATCGTATTTCTTAAAAATTAAAATCGCGAATATCTTTCATTCCTACTCTTCCTTCCTTCCCCCTCCATCCAACAAAACAATTAACAATTCGAGATATATATATTTTTTTTATTTAAATTTACATTTAATTTTGTTAACAATTGGATAAATATTATTCCCCTTGATTCAAGTATCATAAACCGTATAAAAATCTCTGATGATCTATTATAGAAAATTGAATTTTCTTAATATATTTATACGTTCATCTATTTCGTATAGAAAAATATACCGAAATAGGAACGTAAAAATGTCTCTCTCTCTTTCTCTCTCTCTTTCTCTGTCTCTCTTTCTTGTTCGTGGCGAAACGATAAACGATGCGATTCGTCGTAATCGCATACTTTATCTGGCACGCTGAGAGTAACGGCTAATCAGCCATGGCACGATAATTGGCCTACGGTCCAACGGCAATATCGTTGAATGAGAGAGAGAGAAAGAGAGAGAGAGAGAGAGAGAGAGAGAGAGAGAGAGAGAGAGAGAGACTTACGTCGTTGAACAGACGACGATGACGACTACGACGACGACGACGACGACGACGACGATGATGAACCAATGCAAGTCGCTGCTAACGTTCGTATTGGTAGCACCACCTCAGGAAGTCGGCATGCCGTGCACCATTCCATTATCATCGAACACACTCCGTTTCTAAAGCGTATCTCGGCGAAACACGCGGTTTCTTGATAATCACCGGCCAACAATGGCGCTACCACTTGTTGCCGCTCAAGCTTATCGCCACGGCCGACTCCTCCTATCGCCTAAAGCCTCACCCTTTACCCTCCTCCTTCCCTTTCTTTCTCTCTCTTTCTCTTTTTCTCTTTTAATGTATTACTTCGAAGAGAGGATCACGAGAGAGAGAGAGAGAGAGAGAGAGAGAGAGAGAGAGAGAGAGAGAGAGAGAGAGAGAGAGAGAGAAAAGAAAGGAAAAAAAAAGACAAACTTGTTCTTCTCTTAAATTGGATTTATTTCTATATTCCGGATATTGGTATACTATTTCGTATGTAAATATATTTACATATATATGTATTTTACGTTTATGTATATTTATATATGTACTCCAATCTATTCTAGTACTCTAATCAATAATACATATTTTACGTTCACGTTATAAAATAAATCAAAATATCTTTGTTTTACTATTCCTGTCTATTTCTCTCTCTATTTCTCTTTCTTTTCTCTCTCTCTCTCTCTCTCTCTCTCTCTCTCTCTCTCTTTATATCTATCATTTTTTAAAAATTAATATTCTCAGATAACTACTTGTCACTATTAATTTTCTTCAATTATTCTTACTAAGAAGGGAAGTCCTTGGATGTTAAGTTCTCTTTGCTCGGTTGCTTTCTTATCTCAGGAAAGCATGTGGTTTTTCTTGATAGTCGCTAACGCGTCGTTATCGGCTCGACCTGTGGCAAAAACTTCTACTCCTCCTTCTTTTTCTCCTCCTCCTCCTCATTCTCTTCTTTCTTATTCTCCCTCCGAAGTACTTCCTATCTGCCCTTAAAGCTTAAAACAGACGATCTCTATTGTACCATGTACATATAATGATATATCTAATAATATTTCTTAATATTTTTCGATTTTCTTTTCCCTTGGTCTTTCATTTTTTTTTTTTTTTCATTCAAACTTGACAAATAAAAACAACAACAACAATAACAATAACAAAAAGAAAATATATATATATATATATATATAATATCATTACTATCTGACAAAATTTTCTTCATTAATTTCTTTAATAAATTTTCTTGGAAGGAAAAAAAGGATGGAAAAAAGGAAAATCTCGTCCTTTGGTTATGAAAAGAAAAGAAAAAAAATTACTTTTTCGTATTGCAAAACTATTTAAATATCGTTCGTGAATAAGATAAGTACCCTATCCATCTGAATTCTGTTTAACGAATGAAGACGGACCTTTTACGGTAATCGCCGAACGATGCAACAGGTGTACAAATACGTTCCCTAACAACAAGCGGACCTGCTTGAACGCGGGGTGCAAGGTAAGCCGCCACACAGTAGGGCGCTTTGCACCGTGCACGGCTTCTTAATGCACACGCAACGAGCTCAAGTGCCCGAGCGCAAATCGCTCTTACAAGTGGATCGCTTTTAAAACGTTACCTCGAATTCCTACAACTCGTTTCGTGAAGAAAGAGAGAGAAATTATATATATATATATATATATATATATATATATATATATATCTTCTGTTCGAATGGATATAGAAAATATATTACTTCGAAACTATCTACCATCTAATGTTTGAAAATATTTTCTTCAAAATATCTTCTTTTTTATTTTCATTTTATGTATATATATATATATATATATATATATATATTAAAAATAATCAAGTTAATATATATATTTAATTACAAAAATAAAACTAAAGTGCATTAAATTTTTATTTCAAAAGTAAAAAAAAGAAATATATTAAATTACAATTATATTATTTTATTAATATATTTATATTAAATTCTTGTTTTTATTTATTTATTTTTTTTTTTATTTGTGTTTCAAATATAATATAATTGAATATTATCAATATATATTTAAATTAACTTTGTATTATAAAAAAAAAAAGAAATAATATATAATCAATTATTAAATAACATTGTTGATTTTCTACATATTTATACCTATATAAATAACATATTAAAATAATTCAATATATTTATTAGGATAAGGGGGAGAAAAGAAAAAGAAGTGAGAGAGAGAGAGGGTGGGGTGGACGGGGGGGGGGGGAGGGGAAAAAAATAAAAAGGAAAAAAGGTAAAGGCGCAGTCAGAATTAAGAAAAACTTCCAAAAACATTTTGATGCAAGGACTAGCAGCTCGTTCGCGACAGCTGCAGCAGCAGCGTTCGTTTGGCTGCTGTGAGTTTATAGAGAAAGAGGAGAATAAGAGTAGAAAGAAAGAGAGAAGACGATGATGGTGGCACGTGTCCTACGTCCGTTA